TATGGTCTTCAGTATTTCATCCTCTCAACACCACAGGATGGAGACTATAACATACACTGCAGGTACTACACTGCCTCTCTGAACTTCAGCAATCATCTTACATCCCATATGCTACTCAACTCGCTACTTCAGATTGTGTCTGACAGTAACGATACACTTTGCACATTGTTTGTTCATGAAAATCTTGATAATGATTTTTGGACAATGACATGGCTGGGTGGCTTGCTAGTGTTGTTATTCAACATACTGTCACGTTATATTTACCGTTTGTCAACTGTACGCAACGAAACTGACTTTGACTCTTGCTAGCATAACATTAGCTTTCTGGCTAACAGTTGTTCTCAATAGCTGAGCCAAAGGGGTTTAATGAGCTAAGCGGACTAGAAATACCTCCTGTATACTACCTAGCACGCAGATCTGGTACTAAAAGGTGGAACTGTGAATATTGCAGTCTGTTGATTGATCAATAGAGGACGGTCACTCTGCTCAGGGCTGAGTTGTGGCTGGTTTTGAAGCTCATGTAACCACTGTTCATACTGTGGAGAGTTTTATTAGTAAACTGTAACTATAAAATGAAAGGATGTTTTGCTGGTTCATACAGCAGCTGGAGTCTGAGAAAAAAATAACGTATTACTGGGCCAACTGCCGGCGACTTTTAAGGTGGAACGTTTACTTGTAATGTTACTCAGTGCATGAGGTGACAACGTGAATCCATCAGAACTTTGACTATCACTATCAGTTTTTATGACATACACTTTTAGTAATGAAACATTTATATACAGTATATCAATGTCGACCAGTACTTGTAGGAAAAAAAAAAAGAAATGGTGTGCAGTGTCGTTCCTTTGGGCTAAGGCAACACTAAACCCCTGAGCTTGCCTTGGAAGGACTAAATGCACAAACCAGCTATTGTTAAATATCCCATGGAGAGAGACTCTCACTGCAGCCTGTTGTATTTTGTTCTGAAAATGTCGGCGTGCAGCCTCATTCTGTGGACAATAAACGAGGTGCAGACTTCTGTCTGTGTCACCGGTGATGAGGAAATACAGCGAGTGCTGGATGGAGCAGTGAGAGACAACAACTCCGCCCACATTTTAGGGTACTGTTTGCAGCGGGAATGCTAGGGTCAAGGTACCATGTCTGAAGGGTTACTTTTGGTTCCAAAGGTACCATGATTGGTGGAAACGGGGCTGTAGATTTATCCTGTTTACCGGAGAAGTGAATTACGTGTCCATTGCCTAAGAGCCTTACGGGGCGGTAATGACTGTTCCAGATATGAGTTAAACCCCCAGGTGTCACCATGGAAACTGAGCCATGGCTTGTGAAAAACTTGACATTTGATTGCAAAAAGGATAAAAATATGAATGAATATTCTTACTTTTCATTTCTTTGGTAAGTGGCCATGGTATAAGTGAGATAATGCCATTTGAGCCGTCAATTATAAGTTTTTAATAGCTGACAGAGGCTTGTATCACTCTGTCCTAACATTACCCACAAATACCAACTAAGGTCAAATCCCACATTTTCTGTTTTCCAGTCTTCTGCTTTCTCTTGCATTATCCAATACTCATTCTTAGAGCCACGTAACATATTTTACATCTATTATGGGCGCTGTGACCTTGAGCATTGCACTGCATGCCATTTATTGCCTGTAATACTTTACAATCTGCAATCTTAAGCTCATACTGCTCATTGCAAGCTGCGGTAGATAGAATGACCAGATAAATACCTAAAATGCAAAAGTAAATATGGGCTCGGAGTGTGGATATAGAAAAGCTCTTTTGAGGGAAAAGCTCATGAAAAAACAAACAAAACCAAGAAGCTGTGCAACGATTTAAAAACTTTCCATTTCCAAAGATTATATCTGTTTTTTCCCCTCGCTAAAGACCCCTGTGAGACTATAACACTTACCTTTAAGTTTTACTAACTGTGACCCAATACCCCAAAGTAAGTGCCCATAAAAATGCCACAGAAATTAATTACAAGGAAAGTTGATCTTCCCATTGTTAATTTGCCAGTTAAATGTTGGCGTCCCTGCGGGAGTATAGAGATCTCAGAAAAAAGCTCACTGGGAGAGGTCATTATTGTGGCTAGCTCTGCAAAGATACAATTTCAATCCAGGAAGCTACAGGGTTATGGCCATAACCGCGAACGCACCGAAAAACACACGGGTTCAACTTTATTCCACATGGAGAAGATACAAGAGAGAGGGGCCTTTTTTTGCTTTGATGCTCCGTCTGTCTTTTCTCAAGAGTGAATACCATTATAGGAGGTCATTAAGATGCCTGCCTAGCAACCCACTGGCATCAGACTACATTATGTTGGCTGCGAGCCTGAAAGCAAAGAAAACATTGGCCCAAGTGATGATCCGGGCTTGGCTGAAGGAGCAGGGGAGATATATTTTCAGTAACATGACATCAATAAGAGCAGAGTTGTGTTGAATCATATCTTATCGTGGATGTCAGCCCAAAGAACTTTTTCATTTCACAGCATCAGAGCAGAGCAGTGTTTGCATTCACCACCACTGCTGATACAATCAGACCAAAAAAGAGATTATAATACTCTGGCCTCGCAACTCTGCTGCAGCTACAAGTCTGCATTTCACATCTTTACAGCTCATGAGCTAATCCAAAGAGGATATACAGCGCTCTGGGAATGGCTGGCCATTGTAGACTGGGGGTATGAGATTAGGAGACATGGTTCTTAAAATGTCTTACTACATGCAATCTTCCCTGACCAGCCGTAAAATTGTCTCCCTCTCTCTAACCCTCTCTTCCTCGTTGGCTTCAGCAGCGAGTTTCCATGAGATCGCAATGCCTTCCTTGCTCTCAAGAGCCTCTGCGATACCACACAGTAAATGTAAAGCGATAATTCACAGGGGGAAAAAATGACTGCATGGCTAACTGGTAAAGACACGGTTGGGCTGGAGGACAATGAGAGGTGGATGACAGATTGATAACGGAAGAGACGGAGCGTGTACTTCTGTTCTCTCCATTATGGTTTTACTGCAGATACATGCTGTGGTATGTCTGAAGCCATACAGTATTCTGATAGAGCGCACTCAAACCGCCGAATTTAACAGAAGCTGTAGGAGTTTAGTGTCTAGCCAATGTAGATTCACTGTGCATCTGAGAATGAATGGCTCACATTAAAGCCTCTTCACTGCTCCCCTGGCCAATATTTGCATTTTTATAGAGCCTATAGTGCAGGTTGAACATATTGTAAAGGCATAATTTGAGCAGGTATGACTGTATTTATATCATGACATACGTGACAGCATTTAAAGAAATCTCACTCCAACTTGTTTGAGAAGCCAAAACTTAGATATTAGCTCTTCCAAGAATCAGTAAGCACGAGCTGCGCTTCATGGTCCAGTGTGTAGGATTTATGGGGATATACTGGCAGGAATTAAATATAATAAGTTTGTTTTTTAAGGGTGCTTTCACACCTGTCCTGTTTGGTTAGGTCCAATCGAACTCAAGTTCATTTGCTCCTTAAGTGCGGTTAACTGGGGCAGGTGTGAACACAGCAATCACACTCAGGTGTGCACCAAAACAACCAGACCGAGACCTTCTTGAAGAAGTGGTCTCAGTCCGGTTACAAACGAACTCTGGTGCGGTTCGTTTGGGCAGGTGTAAACACAGCAATCGCACTCCGATGCACACCACAACAACCAGACCAAGACCTTCTTGAAGAGGTGGTCTCAGTCTGGTTACAAACAAACTCTGGTGCGGTTCGTTTGTGGTGAGAAGGTGTTCCGACCTGGATCTGAACCAAGTGCAGTCACATGACACACTGTTTGGGTTAAACATGAGCATGTTACAGTCCTGGAGGATTATTAATGTGCACCTCCTCCTGTACTGCCTTAATATGCACATTCAGCACATCCAATGCATCAAAACATTGTTTTCTAGTTGGAGCCGCGCCTCGTTTTCAAACTGTATGGTTTGACTAAAATGAACAATGACAGCAATATAGTCCACGATGAGCAGCGCTAAAATCAACCTGCGTAGTTGTCCCTCCATTGTGACATTAGAAAGTGTCACATTTATAATGCAAGAGTACTCTTCTTCAACGTTTTGTTTACTTCCTGGATTTTCCCCGCATGGAAATTCGGACCAATCAAGAGCAGCTTTCTCGCACAAGGCATTTTATCTTGTCCGCTTGGAAATGCTGCCATGAGAACACTAACCAACTCTAGGCAGTTATACAACTTCGTAACAAAATTAGATCCTGATTCAGACCAAAGCAAGACAACTCTAGGTCTGAAAGCACCCTAAATCTTACACACTGTTCCTTTAAACAAGTCCAGCATGACAGTAAATATCACGATAGTGTTCTTAACATCTGTCAGTAGGTATTATAAAACACTGGTAGCATGACAATCACTCCCAGAGCCTGTTACTGGTGAACTGGTGGGTGTCTCACAGGTGCAAGCAGTCATCTGGGAGGTATCAGAGAAAAGGAATGCAGAGGATGAAGCCAACATGGATTTCTGATGTCCAGAGGTTAATGTTGGGTAAAGAGATGTTAGTGTCCTCCTCTCTTTTAGATCAAGATGTACAGGAAGGTGCAGCTGAATCTGCCCCATAATATCAAGATAACCGTAAATTATAACAGATACTTTAAAACATTAGATGACGTAATATCTGCTTATTAATGACATATAGCCTGTATGAAAAGACTCCCTCATTTAATCATTCACTGCTTCCCATGATTACCTCTGGTTTACTCTTTGTGGTAAATTGAGATTTTAGACACTGATAAATAATCATCATCACCTTGGAGCTGCTATAATGCTTAAATTCTCTCCTGGGATTAATAGAGTTTTAACTTATCTTATTTCTAGCAAAAAGTAGCGTACATGCTACGGACAAAACCAATGGACATTCTTTTGCATCATGCATAGATTTAGAATTTGGGCATAGTAAAAGGCATAGTTCGGATTTTTTGAAGTGGGGTTATATGGGTTACTTATCCATAGTCAGTATATTACCTACAGTAGAGGTCAGTCGGCACGCTCCCTGTTTGGAGAAGCAGGCTGGAGAGCCACCACAAAAGCTAAGCAATGTACTGCTGTGGACGAGGGCAGCAGAAAAACGTATTTCGGCCACCTACAAAAAAAAAAAAAAAAAAAAAAAAAATCAATATCAGTTTAAGCATACATTGTATTCACAATATTTTGATTGCTTACGTTTCTGTCAGACAAACCATTCTGACGGGGAAGCCCTTAAAGGGAAATTTCGGTTTATTTCAACCCATCTCCTATTGTCCTAAATTTGTTTCAAGTGACTAGTGACATAAAAATAATAGTTAGCATGTTAGCCGTTAGCCTAGATACAGCCGGGGCGCATAGTAGTGTCAGACCTGTTAACGAGACACCTCCACCTGGAGTAGTATCCAGCTGGGCTTTATCTAGAGCTTGCGAGATATATTTCGGCCACGCTTTGGAAAGCAGAACTAAATGGTAAACAAACGGCACCACACCAGTAAGGTAGACAACACGTTTACATGTTGTTTTCTATATGTTCTCTGACATTTATCCTAACGATAAACCGAAATTTCCCTTTAATAGCTTCAGTTAGACTCCATTGACAAAGACAGTAATTTTGGCTCACAAAAAATGGGAGCTGCTGGTCAGCTGCTGCCTTGATCACTTAGTTTGTCTGTGTTATTATGTGACTTTGGTAAATCCAAACTAAGCCTTCTGAACGCCAAGTTCACACAATTAAATAAATAAATAACTGATAGAGGCAGCAGTAGACCAGCAACTCCTGCCTGGCTTTGAAGAGAGCGATATGACAGCCTCCCCATCAGAAGTCTCTGTCTAACAGCAAGCTAAAGCAGTGACAATATTCTAAATATAGGATACAGTAAATTTTGCTGCTGCCCTTCGTCCACAGCAGTTCACAGCTCAGCTTCTGAGTCAGACTCCAGCCTGATACTCCAGGCTGGAGTATGCCAACTGACTGTACTGTATGTAATACACTGTCTATGGATGAATACCTTATACAACCCCACTTCATAAGATCAGAGCTATCCCTTTAAGCCACACTCAAGAGATGCACATAAATTAACATGCACTACTCTAAACCACCTATGGGTAAGTTCTCTCCTAAGTTAGGGCGTTAAGTCGACATAGTAGCACATTGTAGTGAACTGGATCAATACTGAAATATCATACCAGTAAATTCAGTGTCTACTGGATTACTGTGTTGCAAAATGACACGCAATTAATGAAAACATGATGCTGTGTGGCAGTAAAGCTGCTGTTTTACCATCAATGAGTGTAACTCTGTGTCAGTTTATGATTTACCCAGAGGCATGTGTAACCATTTAGTCTTCACTTAGAGTGATGTTGTAACTTATCTCTGTGGTGCAACCGCTTTGATTTCAGCAACGCATAAATCACAACTCTGTATTACTTGACATTATAAACAGGCTGAGTTTGAATTCACAAACAGCTGGTGCAACAGGCTGCAGATGAGGAGAACCTAATCTGAGAACCTAAAATAAAGACACGACACCACACCAGTGAGCCACTTAAAACGAGCCAACAATAAAGCCAGCTGCGTCTCATATGGCAGTTTCTAGCAACCAAAAACAGAGAGTAAAGGGGTGTAACAATTCTAACCCATGATGTAAGAATATCACCTAATAAAGTCATAACTCATGAGAATAAATAGTGTTTCTGTTAATCTAAAGGCCTCAGCATGCTTACAGTGAAATGTCTGACGACGTATGAACCAGAGACTGTAAATTATTCTTTAAAGGCATCAGCATGCTGCAAACAAAGAGCTTGTGGGGTCAGCAAACAGCTCTGGAAGCCTCTTTGCCACACATTTGGACATCAGACTAGGGCTGGGTGATATAGACAAAAAATCATACCTTGGTTTTTACAGGCTGACTGGCGATACACGATATATATCTCAGTATTTTCTACAAAATGGGCAACACATTAACAGTCAAAGCCACTTTGAGATATCACAAGCGGTTTTATAAAAACAGACTGTGATCAAAATGAAATGCAAAGACAGGGATTTTATTCCCCTGATTAAAAATATGTAGCTACACCTCCAAAACACTAGTCAGTGGCGGAAGTGCTGTAAAGTTTTGGCGATTCAAAACACACATTACATGGTTTCACAGAGACAATTACAAACGCAAGTACACAAATCAGCTTCACTATAACTTGCAGCATTCATAGACAAAGCACTTGTGTTTTGCTGGACACATTTTCCCCACAAATACAACATGCTAATGTTTTTAGCACAAGCCTATGGCATTTTACATTGTATAAATTAGCCTAGTGGCTAGCATACTTTTCCTCTACTCACATGAAGCCAAGGACAAAGATAACGCTAAAAAATTTGGCTCCATTACAGCTCACAAGGTTCATCGACAAAACAACTATCTTATACTAAATACGTTTTCCAAACAAAATACAACATGCTAACGTTATTTTTATAATATTCCAAAACAGAAATAGATCCCACTTTTCATCTAGACGCAACAACATGAACACCTTGAAGAGGAAACTGCCCAAAGTATCAGCCATTATCACCACCATTTGTGCAATTCAAGACTACACACACATGCAAAAGACAGAGTGTTGCAAATCTGAGTGAGTATACGCACTGCTTTAGATGTCAGATAACACCTTCAGTTAAAGCATACTAAACCCTTAAGTCTTTCATGACAGATGTTTTTTACTGTTTGACAACTTGTTACATTATCTGTTGCAGACATGTCTGCTCAGTGATTTCCTGAGCCTTCAGTCTTCAGCATGTTGATGCACTGAGGCTCTTGTCTCTCTGATGAGGTGTTATTAAACACTGGGGATGACTGCCATAAGCAATCTGCTCTATTTCTAACCTTGTCCATGCTCCATGAATTTCCCACCGTCTTATCTACGAATGAAAGTGAACAAACACAAACTGCACGCCCCTCTGGACTGCGAAAGTCTGTGATTGTGTTATTTGGCATCACGAACACTACCTTGGGAGCTATTATTGGTCTGAAATTTTGCAGTGAGGGGACAATTATCTGGCCTCTTTAGCCCATGAGGATGATGTAATTAATTGCAGTTTTGTGTCCGACTCTGCAGAGTGAGTGCAGCATTTGTAGGTCACGGACACATATTGTATGGATGAGTGATAAAGACAGAGACAGTTGGAAAAGGGAGCTTAAAAAAAAAAAAAGGTAGTCGTTTAAACTGGTTTTCGCAGTTTAAACGACCACTAATTTCAGGGTTGCAGCGTTGAGAAGAATGAGAAGAATGTGGAAAATACAACCTCCCTGATGGTTATGGCAACCAGTGTTTGTTTTTGCACCTGTGTGTATGGAGAGAACATAAAAATCTTGGTTAGATGCCACGGTGGGGAGAAGATCGCATCAGGAGTCGGGACAGTTTCTCTCAGTCAGTCACTGCTTCATGTTTTGAGAGGAAATACGGAGAAATCCTTAGAGCATGAATTTCAGGTAGTGTACTGCACTGAATTTCACATGATGTACTTTCATTTATCTTTTCTTATATTTGACTATATTCTTCTATTTTTCGAGCACAGTGAGATCTGACGAAGGCATCTGTTATGAAGCATTTAATTGACTTTACATTCTGATATTGATACTGAAGCTTTATTGATGGAAGTAAAAATGAAACATTCCCAAACTTTGAGCTGACAACTATACATCAAATTGTTTTCAAGGACAATTTTTCAATTAAAAAAATCCATTGAAATGTTAAAAAAAAAAAACCCTGACATTTTGACCCCAAAATGATTTGTGGCTGCTTAAGTGCCAGCTAGTGCATCTGATTTGGATGTTATATATCAGCCCATTAAATGGCTGTTATAGATACAGTATGGATTGGATGGGGTCTGCCACACCTACTATTAGGGTTCAAAGGCTGTTATCAACCCATTAAATGGCAGTTTCATATTCAACATTGTCAAACAGTCACAGTTTTGTTAGGTTTCACTCTCACTTTCTTTAGGTTGAAGCCCTTATTTACACAGAGATCCTGTGATAGGGCTCCAGCTTATCCGGGGCCAGGTCGCGGGGGCAGCAGGCCGAGCAAAGCACCCCAGATATCCCTCTCACCAGCAATGCTTTCCAGTTCCTCCTGGGGGACCCCAAGGTGTGAGATATGTAATCCCTCCAGCCTGTTCTGGGTCTGCCCCGGGGCCTACCAGTGGGACGTGCCTGGAACACATCCAGTGGGAGGCACCCAGGAAGATCCTGATCAGATGCCTGAACCACCTCAACTGACCCCTTTCGACACGGAAGAGCAGCGGCTCTACTCCGAGCTCCCTCTGGATGTTCAAGTTCCTAACCCTATCTCTAAGGCTAAGTCCAGATACCCTTCTAAGGAAACTCATTTTGGCCACCTGTATACATGACCTCATTATTTCGGTCACTACCCAGAGCTTGTGACCATAGGTGAGGGCTGGCACGTAGATGGACCAGCAAATCGAAAGCTTTGCCTTGTGGCTCAGCTCCCTCTTCACCACAACAGACCAGCGCAGCGCCTACATCACTGCAGAAGCCGCACCAAACCACCAATCCATCTCATGCTCCATTCTATCCTCACTTGTGAACAAGACCCCGAGATATTTGAACTCCCTTGCTTGAGGCAGTAATTCTCCCCCACCAAACAATGCCAGCATAATGCCGCCCCAGTGTGTGACTTTAGACAGCAAACTAGCGTTTCAGAAGCAAAAGAGGCATGGCAGGATGAGGTACAACACAACAACGTCGGCCTTTAGTGTAACATATAACATAATTCCGGAACCATACCTTTTTACAGAAGGGTGAGGCGGAATAACAGTGCGACATTCCTGCCTTGAACAGGCAACGTAAAACGGGCTTTAGGTGCAAACACTACGTGGTTAGGGTTAGGAAAAGATATCATGGTATGTCAAATAGAACAACTGTCTCTAGTTAAAATAAGTCAACATTCATACAGAATAGGATCCCCGCCCTCCTGGGGGAAAGTCCTGTGTTGTTTGGCTGATAAAGCCCATTTAATGACCTGATAACAGCTGAACCTGCTGGCTAGAGGGGTTCTGATTTGAAAAAAGAACTTGTTACATGAAAAATTTATATTTCCTGG